TCTTAAAGTAAGTCCCTTGTGCTCATTTTCTATCAATAATATTGCTTCCCCATTGATTTTACCACCTAGTTTGTGTGTATTTAAAGTGTAAATTGGGAATTTGAGGGTAGGGATTTGGAGGGTTTGATTTAGGGATTTGGGTGATGATTTGGTGTCGGATTTTGATAAATTTAGTATGGATAGACTCGTGGTTGAGTGAGCTTTCGGGTTTTGTGACTTTTATCGAATTTTGAGACGTGGGCCCGGCGACCAATCTTTTAGCCAATTTTTTATTTTGATTAATAATTTAGCATTTTCTTATGGAGTTGATTCCTTTAGCCCGTATTGATTTTATCACATTGTTTATGGCTAGATTCGAGGCAAGGGTGTGTTAGAGTAAAGACTATGGAACCATATAGTTGTATAATCTGTTGTTATCTGTATATTCTCCATGTATTAGAGAAATTGAATCACAAATCATATTTAGACCACGTGTTAGCATTGTAGGGACCCACAGAGGTCGTGTACATGTTGAATTATCTGTTAAATTATTGTTTTGTACTCAATCACAGTTTATTTGTATATTACATCTCAGTCTCTATTGTTCATTTTTTATGCATCATATCATTGTTGTCTAGGCTGCTTATTATGATTTCTGAGAGACTGAGAGACTGGAGAGGTTGATGACTTAGTGAGGCCGAGGGCCTGATTATGGGGTATTATACTATAGCACGTGAGTTTTCTATGCAGCACGTGATTTGTCCGTGCGGGTTCAGATATTATACTATAGCACTGATTTGTTCATGCATCACGTGAGTTGTCCATGCAGATCCAGATATTATAATATAGCACGTGAGTTGTCTGTGCAGTACGTGAGTTATCCGTGCGGATTATAGCGTTTGGGCTGAAGGAGCCCCTCCGGAGTCTGCACACACCCCCAGTGAGCGCAGGTACCTACTGAGTACGAGTGCCGAGTGCCAAGTGCTGAGTGATTGGGAGGGCTGAGTGATTGTGGCCCTGAGATGATGGATTTGATTTCATATTTGTTGCACTTAGCTGCCATGTATCACTGTCTTGAAAATTTCTGAATGATATTACACTCTGTTTCAATTGAACTTGACATGAAATTACTGTTTTGGCCTTAATTGTCAAACTTGAAAGCATGCCTGCCTTCCTATGTTAAAATCACTGTAATTGAACTATAACTGTAAAGCTCGTCACTACTTTCAGTTCTTTATTTAGTCTTGTTACTTACTGAGTTGGTTGTACTCACGCTACACCCTGCACTTCGTGTGCAGATTTAGGTATTTTCGAACACGGTGAGTGTTGATTTCCGTGCACAGTTGATCTTCTGGAGATTTCGAGATAGCTATCGGTGTTTCGCAGACCTTATCTCTCCTTCCCTATCTTTACGCTTATTGTATTTAGTTTCAGACTATATTAGATAGTGTTTTTTAGACTTGTGATGTATAGATGCTCATGTACTCAGTGACACCCCGATGTTGGGAATTTCCGCGTTGTATTTTGAATTTTCTATCCTGTTTATGAGACGTTATTATCATTTAAACTATTTTAAATCTGTTTCATGTTAAGTGTTGGAGTTATTTCATAAATGTCGGCTTGCCTAGTACGACGATAGGCGTCATCACGACAGGTTAGGATTTTGGGTCGTGACAGCATACACTACAATGAAACTCTCTCTCCAGTGGCTAAGATGGTCACTGTGAGATCAGTCATTGCCTTAGCTACCTATAGAGGTTGGGGTTTATACCAAATGAATGTGTTTAATACATTCTTATAGGGAGACCTATCAGAAGAAGTGTACATGGACCTACCCGAAGGTTTCCAAAGACAAGGGGAGCAGAAGGTGTATAGATTGTTGAAGTCTATGTATAGCCTTAAACAGGCATCAGAGTAGTGGAATTTAAAGCTTACAGAAGCTTTATTGAAGGCAGGGTTCAGTCAAAGTGCATTTCATTGTTCCTTGTTCACTAAGAGGTCCAATGGTCACATTATTGTGATCCTAATCTATGTTGATGATATGCTTCTTACTAGTAGTAGCAAGATTCTTATTGATGAGGCAAAGGTTGTTCTACATTAGGAGTTGAAAGTGAAAGATTTAGGCAAATTAAGATACTTTCTTGGAATTGAGGTTATGAGATCCAAGCCTAGCATTCTCCTCAACAAGAGGAAGTACACCTTTGAGCTCATTTCTGAATTGGGCCTTAGTGAAGCCAATCATGCTGTCACACCTCTTGAGATTAATCAGAGGTTGACTTATGTAGAGTTTGACAAAGTTGCAGGGCTTCAGAATTTAGATACCTTAGTGAATGTTACTAGCTATCAAAAACTAATTGGGAAATTGTTATATCTTACAGTCACGACTTGATATTTGTTATGCAGTTCAAAGCCTCAGTCAATTCATGCAGGTTCCAAAGAAGTCTCACATGGATGCTTCTACCAGGGTTGTCAGATATCTTAAGAATGCACCAGGACTTGGTGTTTTACTGAAGAGGGAGTCTGCACAGCCTCTACTTGGGTTCTGTGATTCAGATTGGGGTGTCTGCCCTGTTACTAGAAGATCAGTTAGTGGTTATTTGATGAAGTTTGGTAGTTCTCTTATCTCTTGGAAGTTCAAAAAATAGCACACTATTTCCAGAAGTAGTGCAGAGACAGAGTACAGGAGTATGGCCTCAACAGTCGCAAAAATCACTTGGTTGCTAGGTTTGTTTGTTGAGCTTGGAGTTACCATTCAACAGCCAGTTACCTTATGTTGTGATAGCTGCAATGCAGATTGTTGCAAATCCCATTTTTAATGAACGCACCAAACATATCAAAATCGATTTCCACTTCATTCGTGAGAAGATAAAGCAGGGGTTGCTGGCTACTCAGTATGTTCATACTTCGCATCAACTAGCAGACGTACTTACAAAAGAGTTGACTGCTACGCAACATAATTGTCTGTTAGGCAAGCTGGGTGTGTTGAATATTCTTCACCCTCCAACTTGAGGGGGAGTATTGTAATATTGTAGCTAGTTAGTGGTTACTTAGTTGAGGGACTTATTTGTACACAGTAGAAGTTAGAGGACCTTCTTATTATTTAAGGAGTTATGTTAGTTGTATATAAATAGTGTATAGTCAGTTATTCAGTTATGAGAAAAATATTTTCCTTTCCCAGCAGAGCTTCTTCTCGATTCTGCTTCTCCAAGTCTCTCTCAAAATATTCTGACAGATTGTGATAATTTAAAGAGCAAAATAAAAATTGTGAGGTCAAATCCGAATTGGCCCATTTGTCACCCCCTTCTTTCTTTGATTTGAAGCAAGATTTTTTGAAAGTAACAATTCCAAATAGATCATCCATTTTTCTACCACATGGTTGAGATCAATGTGAAAAAATCAGAATGCCTATGTCCACGAAGCGAAGAAAGAGGAGCAGGAACAAGAGGTTGTCCTCTCCCGGCCTAGTAGTTCCGCAACTACTACCGTGGTTAATGCCAACAGGGATCTCCCATTCCGAAAGGTTACTAGGCCGCATGTTTCTTCTTTTTTTTTTTTGACAAAAATATTTCTTTTTTTTCTTCGCCCTTTGCATTGGAAGGGGGCGGAATATACTTTATTATATACGAGGAACTCACGAAAATCTCTGAGTGCTCAAGCATCCAATCAATTGAAATGAGGGTTAACAAAAAAGAATAGGACCTATTATTCCTACATGTTCCATTAGTAACATTCCCTTGAGATGTTACTGCATATTTTTCTTGTGTTTAATCTTTCCCGATTAGAAATCATATAGGAATTTCTTATAAAATGAGCAAATTTATTGGATTGGTTTATTAAAAGTATTGATTCTATTTTACTCTGCGCTATTGATTCCACTATTATTAGTGTGGAATAATTCATTTATATTTATAGAGATAGGGGACATAATTCATATGGATATAGTAAGTCTGGCTTGAGCTGCTTTAATGGTAGTCTTTACTTTTTCCCTTTCACTCGTAGTGTGGGGAAGAAGTGAACTATATGGGTCTTACTAATTGAGTTAAGGAAGAAAACTGTATCAATATCAATTGCTTTCTAGATCGTTCTGCAACACGTTTTGAGCAAAATAAAAATATCTTCATTTTAAAATTCCATTGGACTCGACTAGAGTAATGTGTTATAGGAATCATCCTCTTTCAATCAAAGAGCTATTTCAACGATTCCCATATTTGTAGTTCGAAAGGAAGAGGATCCCAGAAAATCTATTCGAACCTAATTCTTCCGAAATTTTCTATTCCAATGAATCCCCCCCCCCTATTAGTAGCCGAAGTAAAGGCCAGCATGAGATCAAAGTCACTTGTCGTCCTTTCGTTGTCTGTTCAATAAAGGCCATCGATATTCCCTTACTTCACAAGTTTTGAATTTTATGAGCCCTTCGATTGTATCCCATAATAAAATCTCTCTGATAAACATCTTGTCATTCGATTTGCATCTTTTTCCTTTTATTTTTTAATTTGGCACTATTTAAATAAAAAAGAACCTACAATAAGTTTTTCTTCCTTTAACACTAACCCGGACAAGACTCACCAATAAGGTAACTCCACCCTGTATTTTATGGATCAAATCCGGTGATAATTCTCTACTCATGTCCTTCCAGAGCTGAGGAGAAGAAGTGCCCCAAATCAATGCATTCCATTCTTAGCAGAGGTTCCTTCCATATAATCCCTCGAAGTACTTCGCTCACCTTCGAAGAGTGAAAGGATCATTCAAAGAAAACTAAAGGCATAGGACAAAGGAGCTTAGAAGGGTGACGGAGAGGAATAGTAAGGTATGAAATCACTTAGATAGAAGCATGTTGGATGACAGAACGATGACTTCATGCTTAAATTCTAAATTTGAGATTTCTGACCTTGAAAAATGACGTAAGTGATAGATGGAATCGTTCAGTAGGCTAGTTTCCATTATCTATTGAGAAAGCGGCGGCCCCAGTGTGCTCTCTAATAGTGCACCGAAACGGGGCCGGAGAGACGGTAAACCTTAGATCAGCTAAGATCTCTCAGTGTTACCTGGCGTCTTTTCTTGCTGGGACGATCATATATCCATATTTTGATAGCTTCCGATTTCATATAGTCCTGGACTGTAGTAAAACATGGTGTAGAATAGTATATCGGTCTACCCATAGCAGATGCTAACCATCCTACAGAGCGGATTAAAGTCATTAGGTTTACAATATGAGGAAACCTCGATTTAAAGAACTTCTCGATATGAGTAGAAAGCGTCAAGCATTCTTTTTTCCTTATTAAACCGGAGTATTGTTTATAGAGATCGTCCGCCATGGTGTATGCTGCCTTACCATAGATCAACGGCATTAGGAGAGATTTAATAATTTTTCTATCAAACCGGGGACATACAAAAGTCTTAATCATGTGAGGATCATCGAAAGTTTGAATTTCCTCAATCAAGGACTTTTTAATCTCCGATACAAAGAAGTCGTAAACGTCATTAATACCTAGATTCTTTATAGGCTCTTTATAACCATTGTTTATAGGCTCATTATCACCTTTTGTTGGAATAAGATTCGTATAATTAACTATTTCAAAATCTAACAAGAAGTAACTAATTATCTGATAAGCGCTTGCAGATGCATCTTGTGTGATAGGAAGTTTCCACTCTGACACCCTAGGATCCAACCTTTCGATAATTAGAGCCTTGCTTAGGAACTGCAAGGGATCTTTAGCGGTAGGTGCATACTCAATGATTCTATCAATAGAGTAAAACCTCTGCTCTCTATACCATTTACAAGTTGCAGGGTAAGTATCAAACGTTTTATAATGAAATGAGGCTGACACATATAACATTGAGTAAACCTTGTTATCGTATTCTTTAGTATGAGATGGATTTGCCTTCTTAGCATCATTAAATGTACTCTTAGAGAACACTATCAAAGACCTTGCTAAATCACGCTCATGGAAATGTAATACCCCCGCGCGATAAATCCTACCGCGGAAGTCGACGAATGCTAGCAGATAAAATTCATACCCCTCGTAAGCTGACGCTATATCGAGTATAAAGGTTTCATAACGGGCTCGCTGGATATCTGTCAAGAACTTTTTTAGCAATGCAGGATAGAGGTAAGGTCGGCACTCATCACCTTCATTTGATAGGTAAGCTTCCCTCAATACCTTGCATCCCTCGGCTATATTTAAGTAGGCTAGAAACTTCGGCATCAGTAGATCTATTTCTACTAATCTATTATAATTATTTTTAATGATATCTAAGATACCCACATTTATCTCAAAAGCCTCTTTCTGTAAGGTATTCATAGTGTCACACATTTTCTGATAGTTTTCACCCAATAAAATATTAAAGTTATTCTTATCGCGGGATGTTAATAGATTATAGCGATTATATAAAATATAAATCCACGTTAGGTTCGCCTAAATAACCTCCAGTAATATCAGATAGTGATTTAGGTGCCTCTCCCCTCACTTTAAGTCGTTCTACAACACCCCACTCCTTAGGAGGGCATACCATAGGTAGACTTAACTGGATCGGCAGAATGCTTATATCAAAATTGCAAATTACATATATAGGCTTTTGTTTGTAATACTTACCACCCTTCTCTTTTTTATTAACCTTTTGATCAGGAAAATATTGTTATCAATTCTCTTTCTAATAAAAATTCAACCAACAATACACCTATATTCTTACTTATACAACCAGGAATTACATTAACGGAAGGTTTGCTCCCAACCCGTTGATAATTTCTTTCAGACAGCAATTTAGCATGAACTCTAGCCATTCTATCTAGTTGGTCTACAAGGGTAGAAAGGCGAACGGCTGGGCTGTCATTAATACTATTGAAGAGGCAACCAAAGATGTAAATAATAATGCCTTCCAATGTATACTGATGAAAGAGGTTTAGAAGATCCAACTCATCGGAAGTGAGTTTCTTACTAGCCTTAAGATACTCCTTAGCAGAGGGCGCATCCTTCTTAACCAAAAGATTAATCATCATAGGTGTAGCCTCAAACAAACTCTGTATATCATCATATGGATATGCTTGTTCTTCAATCTTCTTTTGTGTTTCGTATAATTTATAACTATCGTACCTGTCTACTTTAGATTTACACAGCAATTCCAACACAGCACTTTGGTATTTGAAAATATTTGTTTGTTCGGTAATATTTAATCCATTATCTTTGGAAATATCATTAAACTTCGGTTCGAGCACCAGTCTATAAATTAGCTTTAAGACATTTTTCAAATCAGGGTTTGCATTCGCTTTACAGGAACGACTCAAATAAAGGGTCTTGGCCTTCCTAATATCATTCTTTCTAGCATTTTGGTAACGGATACAAATTATTTAATAATATTTTTATTATTCTGTATAATAAACCACGAAACAGTCTATGTATCGCTCACTCTGCGCCAAACCGGTGGTAGCCTAAATCTATTTAAGCTAAATGGCGTAGGTATATTAATTACAGGGTGATCAGGTTTTATTTCCTATAGAGTTCAAGATATGTTAGTATCATTTTTTTGTGAAACGTGTTAAAACAGTGAAAATATCCTCTATAAATATAAGGCAAAACTGCATAAAATAGACTTAATACGGTTCAATCCTTACAAGATCCTTGACATATCAGGATTGTCGTGCATCATCCTTGTATAATCGAGATAGATCCCACACAAATATAACATAGTTATCCTTATTTTCCAAGATCAAACGCTTAAGCACCATTTATAGATAAAAGTTCCACATAAAGAAACGTTCATCTAACTACGTAAAATTAAAATAATTTGAAGAGCAAAAATTAACATGCAAACTACAATAAAAAGAAAAAAATATTCATATTAAATATTATAATATTTTAAAACTATACGAATACTTTACAAGTTCAATATGCAAGAGAATTAGTAGTATTTGAAATAAGCATATTTTAAAAAAATGTTTATTCTCTTTTTTAATCTAAAGTGTGAATAAAGATTTTCAACAAATATATTTACTCTCTTCTTAAATTTAATAAATTGTACATGAGAAATTTTTATTGAACTTTTTGCTATTTTATTTTAATATACTTCGCTACTGATATACATTTTCTTTTTAAAACTAAACACTTAGCACCTTGTAAAAACAAAAGTATTATTCAAACTAATATTATGATTCCCATACATATTAAGAGGGATATGATTTTACGTCACATGGAGTATATCGGCAACTTAGACATATTACTGAGATATTAGTTTTTTAAAATATTTGGTCGGACGGACATAATGATTACAGGTGCTAGCCTAACGTATAAAAATTATACACTAATTATGTATAAAATATGTATTATTATATATTAATATACGAAAATATATAAACCTTCGCTAATATTTTATAGCTAGTTACAACGGTAGCCTCTATAAGTGACAGATCTTTACTTGTCCATGTTTTTGACTTCTTGCGACAAAAAAATGAGTGTTATATGCGTTGCATTGTTCTTCAATTGTAGTAGCTTGAAGCTCTTGTTTGGGATAGAAGTTGGAAGTTAATGCGTGATTATTGTTAAAATCGTTTGAATATTGATAATTTGTACTTAAATTATTGTTCAAACATTGATTTAGTGATTTGCTCTAAAAATAGTAAAACATCATTGTTAATTCTAAGAAAGTGTTAAATAAGACAAAGTGGGTCTTGTTAAGTTGGTGTTATGTGACTAAATCAGTGGTTGAGGATAGCTTGTGTTAGTATTTTGAGGCTTTATTTCAAATTTGAAATTATTTTGGTGCAGATTTAGGGTGGTTTGATCGAAACTAAAATTGTAAATTCGAAAGATTTTGAACATTACAGACAAATTATACCAATCAGATATACTTTGATGAATAATTTAGCAGATAGATCAAATACAGGTAACACAAAGTCATGCAAGTTTGGTAAAATTTGGTGATCAATTGAACAAATACAAAGTTATGTAGTATAGAGTTTGTGATTATCCAACATAATAGCTAGGTTAAATACATTATGAAATCCTACCTGTTTGACATAACTTTACTATGAGTGAAAACTTAAAATTATGATAACCGAACGGAGTTTGCAATTTGTAAATTTTCCAACATAATAGCTAGAACGAATACAACGTAGAATTCTACCAATTCGTCATTAGTTTAATGTGAACGAAAACAGAAAGCCTACCAACTTTCGTCATAGCTACTGCTAAGCGCATGTTTGGATTCGGGGTCATTTTTTAAAAGACATTAAAAAATGGAACCATTATTTAGACCAATCCTTTATAGGATTAGTTGTGATGTCCCAAAATGTTATCTTTAAATTTAATTATTAATTATGTATCCTAAGACCTCGAAAAAGACTATTTATTATTTCTCGACTTGTGTGCGCAGTCCGTAAAATTTTCCGAAAAGTTTTTATGTGAAAAATAGATTAAAATGTGAAATAAAATCTTAAAACTCAACTGAGTTGACTTTGGTCAACATTTTGAGCAAACAGACCCAGATCAGTATTTTGATAGCTCCGGTAGGTCCGTATCGTAATTTGGGACTTGATCGTATGCCCGAAATTTAATTTGGAGGTCCCTAGCTCAAGTTATGACCATTTAACGGAAACTAGTAATTTAAAGGCTAAAAATTTCCAAGTCTGACCACGGTGTTAACTTTTTGATATCGGAGCCGGAATCCGATTCTGAAAATTTGAATAGCTTAATTATGTCATTTAGGACTAGTGTGCCAAATTTGAAGTCATTCCGGATTCATTTAATATGTTTTGGCACGATATTTGCAAATTGAAAAGTTTTAAAGTTAAAAGTTCGAATCGAGGTGTGAATTATAATTTTGATGTTGTTTGACGTGAATTGAAACCCGGAGTAAGTCTGTATTATATTTCTGGACTTGTTGGAATATTTGGACGAGGTCCCGAGTAGCTCGGATGAGTTTCGGACGAGCCACAGAGCAATTGGAACCTGCTGCCCAGTGCTGGTTCTGGTGTGTCGCACCTGCGATATTTTGTGCGCAGGTGCGTGGTCGGCCCAGCGGAATTCCAATCGCTTATGCGACATTGGACAGCCCTACCGAGCTCCGCTTCTATGGAGAAATGAGCGTAGGTGCAAAACCGCATCCGCGATGGACGAGCCGCTTCTGCGAGGAAGACCGCTTCTGCGGTCACTAGTGCGCTTCTGCGATGTCGCATGTGCGACATTTTTGGGCGCAGATGCGGCCACTGGACAAGCTGCCATGTTCCACAAATGCGAGATTTGTCTCGCAAATGCGAGGCCCCAGGTGTGAAAATATAGCCCGCAGATGCGAAAATGCTGGGCAGAATACATAAAATCGAGTTTTAGCCATTTTCACTCATTGTTGAGTTTTAAGTCTCGCATTTTGGCGATTTCAAAGGAGGTTTTCACGATTTCGAACTGAGTAAGTATTTTTTATCATATAGTGATTATATTTCATAAATCCATGTCTATATTTATCATTTATTTCGGATTTAGATGGAAGAAATTGGAATTTTTGTAAAACTTTCCAAAAACGAAAACTTTAGATTTGAAGGTCCATTTGACATCGGAATTGGATAATTTTTATATGGTTGGACTCGTCTCGGAATAGGTGTTCGGATTTCGTAAGTGTTTCCGAGATTTCAGACGCGGGCTCCACTGTCAATTTTTAAAATGAATTTCGAATTTTAATCCGGAAAATTAGTAAATTCATATGGAATTAATTCCTACAATTTGTATTGAATATATTGAATTGTTTATGACTAGATTTGAGGATTTCAGACATAAATTCGCGAGAAAAGGGTATATTGAAAACTTAAAATTTGATTTCGAAGCGAGGTAAGTTGCATGGTTAACCTTGACTTGAGGGAATAGAACCCTTAAATTATTTATTATGTGAATTGTATGTGAACGACATATATGCGAGGTGACGAGTGTTTATACGTCGTCAAATTAAATGTTTGCATAAATATTTGAAAATCATAAATCGTGTTAAATCGTGAATGAATTATTATATTAATTGTTTCACTCATAATTCCTTGTCAAATATTAATTTTTGAATTCCAGTAATAATTGCTACATGCTTATTTGAATTATGTGAATTAATTGCTACTTGACATTCAGCATATTAAGCATTAAACTGCCTAATATCTCCCTGATTTTTAAAATAAATTATTATTTATCATTGTTTATTTCATAATTATTGAGTGCTTGTTGCCTTATAATATTATATT